CCCCCTTTTAACTGAGAAATCCTATGTTCCAATCAAAAACATTCAAATGCCTAGTGTGAACTGAGCCCTTGCTTAGTGCCTGGCCGCTATAATTGCTTTCTATGAATTAACTCATTTCATCTTCACCTTTGGCTTGATTGTCTCCTTTCTTCGCTGCAACCCCCAAAGTCAGTGACATTATCATCATCATCATCATCACCTCTGTTTTCAAGACAGGAAAAGAGGCCGGAGATTTAGTGAATATCTCACCCGATGTCACATAGCCAGCGAGCGGCAGAGCTGGGCTGGGAACTCAGGCTTTCTGGTTCCTCATGGTCAGGGTTGGAGTGGGTGATGGGGGCGACAGGTACCTATCTTGACTTCAGTGGCCCCCAGGAGTCTAGTTTGACAACTATGAGCTTGGGCCCTATCATCAGTTCATTGGTGATCAGCAATGTCTCAGGACACAGAAGCTCACGGTCCTCAGGCTCAGCATGTGCGAACACGTGTAACCTTCACAACTGTCCCGCGATGGAGAGCTGTGCGTTTCCCCATTTCACAGGTGACAAAATGGCAGGTCTGGCTCCCTGCTTCCTCCAAGTCATATCCTCATTCTCTCTGCTCCCCTCCCCAACATAGTTCCCCATCTCGGTCAATGGCAGTTGCTTTCTTCTAGTTGCTTAAGCTGAAACCTTGCGGTCACTCTCGGTCATTCTTTGTCTCACACCCCATGTTGCATCCGTAAGGAAATCCTGCAGATGTCTCCAGAACCTGACCACCTCTGCTGTGTCCTGCCAGGCCCATGACCCCAGGACTCTCCTGCCTCCTCATGGGCCGCCATGTGCACCACCTCTACTCCCTCACCCTGTTCTCTACCTGACCGCCAGAGGGATCTCATTAAAGGAAAGTCAACCATGTCCCTCTTCTGCACAGAAGACTCCAGTAGCTCCCTTTCCCACTCAGAATTCTGAGTCCTGAAAATGACCCTTGAGGCCCTACCTGACCTGGCCTCGCCCTCCCTCTCCATTCACATGGCTGCTCTCCTCTCCATCTCCGTCCCACTCACACGGTCCTCTAGGCCCGGGGACAACAAAATGTCAGGGAGCAAATGGAAAGGAGGAGAGCATTTTAGGGACTTTTGACACTCAAATGGTATTGATACTCAAAAACTGGTTCACCGGCAGAGGGGGGACTGGAACCCACATCTCTCTGAATCAGACATTAGGCTCTTAACCTTCTCTCCCTGGGACCACTGCCCAGTTCCTTAGGAGGGCAGACAAGGGCTTACATGGTCAAGCTCCTGGATTTACCTTCAAAACATGCTGCTGCCATGGCCCATATTGGGCAATCTGTACTCTGGCCCCCCACCCTGTCTCACCCCTGTGCCTGTGCATGGACTGTTCTGTCACCCTGAAATGTCCTTCTCCTTTCACTTTTTCCTTGACATCTTGTACATCTAGCTTCTGACACCTGACTTGGCAGATGCTCAATAAATATTTGCTAAATGGAATTGAACTTAACCACGGAAGAAAAGCATCCTCCAAGATTTGACTCCAGTGTTGAAAGCTGACAGAATATAGGTGTCTAGGAAGAATATTTATTTGTAGCATTACAGCTCCATCTTACCCGGCACACGGCTTGTGGTTTGTGTATACACTCGCGTGAGTACCACGTGTGGGCTGTGAGGGGTGCTCGCGTGGCAGGGGGATGTACTGATGCACTGGGCATGTGACATACTCGGTGATAGGCGTTGGGTTTGCATGCTTGGCATGCTGTGTGTTCTGTGTCACTCCGCTTTGGGTGTCGAGGGTCTATGTGTTGCTAAATACCTTCTAGATTATGAATGTAACTTAGTCCCAGAGACGAGGACCAGACCATTAAAACCAACCTTAATCCAAAGGAAAGAAAGCTGGCTCAGACTCTGTCCCTTCTTCCTGGACAGCCTTCCATAGCTCCCCACTCTCCAGAGAGTCCCCCACCTCAAGGCTGGCTCTCCAAGTGCTTGACCAACCCTCTACCTCCTACCTCCCAGCTTCCTACCAGTATCCATTCCCACCTGACCCCTGGGCTTAACCCTTGCTGGCCCCTTCTGCTTGTGATAGCTCTCTCTCATCCTCTCCACCATCTCGTCTGCACCCCATCCTCCTGTTGAGTCCCTCTCAGGCACAGGTGAGGAAAGCTTCTTGAAGGAAGTAGCTGCCTCCTGGATTCACCTGCAGGTCCCTGTCAATAGCTTTTCCTCTTCTCCTGAGAAACTGCAGCTCATCGTTAAGACACAGCTCAGCCTGAAAGTCACCTCTTTGGGGAAGCCCTCTTTGGTACCACCACCACGAGGCCATTCTCGTCTTCCTCTCCGCATGTCCTCCTCTGCCCCAGCTCTGCTCAACCCAAGTGAGGTGTGCTGCCATCCATGTCCAGAAGCCTTCTGGGCAGGTCCAGAGTCTGGCTCATCTCAGGACACCACAGGAAACTATGGAATCCTTTGTGACCTCATTTCAGCATATAGATCCCGAGCTCCTGCCCTGAGCCAGCTCTTAGGCTGAGC